TATAAACCAATTGTCGTTATCAGTGACACAAAGAAGGCGTACGTTGACAATATCTGAGTAGGTTTAGTTTCATCTATAAACCAATTGTCGTTGTCAGTGACACAAAGAAGGCGACGTTGACATATCTGAGTAGGTTTGTTTCATCTATAAACAATTGTCGTTGTCAGTGACACAAAGAAGGCGACGTTGACATATCTGAGTAGGTTTGTTCCAAATGTTTATAAGGTGCAATAGCTTTTTGTTTAAAATCGAATCGACGCATTTTGATTTTGTTCAAAACAATATAGAGCTGCTTAGGTTTATGAATATTTAAAAAAAATGTACAAATTTGTTTCTGCATAGGAAAAAAAACACATTATAAAAACATTTGATATTTTACACGTTTTATTCGTAAGATATTCACTCTCCCTCTCGGGGTGTTCTATTATAAAATTTAAAAGTGATTTACGAATTTACGTGGATTCATACAAATGAAGGTTAAGAAGAAAATTTTGTTCTGCGCCATACAGCAAAGAAGAAGGGGGGTGTATGTATACAAGTTTCAGAAAGGAAGGTAAAGTATTAGTTTGTGTTATTTTGTGGGTAGAACAAGCGTTTACGGTAACAGATCACACAGTCCCCTGACAGGTTGTATGTTCAGGGGGATTTGTTTGTTTTAGCGCAAAGCCACACCTGCTACCTGGAAATTTTGGGATTAACTGGAGGCCAGCTTGATAACCTTTGCTAACTGGGCCAATTATAATTAAGTAAACTCGGATAGCGATAGTTTTATCTTCCTACGTGGTTATCGGTCCGTAAAGCTCTTAATGTCAACTTGGTGATTACTAAGTCTAATAAGCCAATAAAAAGATAGACATCTTAGACAAGTAACAGTTAGAGAGGAAACACACCTAAGACCACATTGACATGATAAACGTCATAACCTCTGCTAGCTAAGCTAATAACACTTAGTGATAGTTCTATCTTCCTTCGTGACTGTCGGGTCTACAAGCTTTTAAGTCAACTTTGTGGTCAATAAGTCTAATAAACCAGTAAGAAGACATAGACATCTTAGACCGACAACAGTTTTAGAGGTAACACACCTAAGATCAAGTTGCATAAAAGGCGAGCAATAGCAAACTTTTTGAACAAAACCAAAACCACATACATGAATTTCTAAAAACAAAAACAAAACAATTACAGTAAAAATAGATCGTAATATGTAAGTTCATGTGTTTATATGAACACTTACCTATTTCATGTTTCCTTTATCTGGTGTAGTTTTGTTTTTTGTCAAATATAACACTAACTGTTCGGGTGTTATAAAATGTTTAGCTAAACCCTATGTACATAGAATTTGATAATTGAATGCAATTTTTGTCATTTACAATGTCACAGCAGAACAAAGTAATGGGACGTGTATTTTTCAACATGATTGTTAAGAACAAAAGAAAATATTACAATGAGCTTTTTTAATAGTATATAAAATACTATTTTAATCTAAAGTATTTTGATTGTAATTAAGCACAAAGCTACACAATGGTCTATCTGAGCTCTGGCCACCACGGGTATCGAAACCCGGATTCTAAAGTAGTTATTCAAGATGCATACTTTTCACTATTCATATCTCCTGCAGTATTTTTCTCCAATTTATTAGCTTTATATAAAAACTTCCAGAACATCGTGACCCAATTTACACATTAATAATTATAACATTGGGAATTCAACATAGTTGACGTTATAGAAG